TATAGTATCAACCCAGCAGACCGGATAGCACTCTGAAACAATCTCAACTTCTTTGGAAGCAAACAATGCAAGCAACCATTTTATAGGCGCTAAAACACTAGCATCTTTCGCTGTTTGGCCGGGTACCAGGTCTTCCGGGTATCGTCCACATCTGAGTGAAGAGAGGAACATTTGTGTAAATACTAAAGTGCCTTTCCTTAGGATACAACGTCGGGCCCGAGTCTCAGATTGCCGAACACGCAATCCCACGATTACGAGTTTAGTCGCTTAGCGACTACTGTCTGGGGCCTTGAATCATACAATTATGCTTTGTTTTTGTTTGGATAAGTGTTTTACGGCACTCGCAACTGCATAAGGTCATATGAGCGCGCGGGACTTTTTCAGTTGGTAGGAAATTTTGAATTTTGCCCGGGTGGCGGCCGAAGCCTACTCTTATCGATTTTAGACCACCAAGAGATCTTTAACTTGCGCAACTTGCACACGGGCCCTCCGAGATTTTTCGCCCTTGTCCGAGAAGGTTAGCTGTAGTTCTTTCCTTCCTGAAGATCAGGTGTGTGGCTGAAAGACAGCAGTAAGAAGGAGCCAATGAGTAGTAGCAGAAAGGCTGCAGAAAGAGTCAGGAGCCCAGAGGAGGGGGCAACGGAGGTGAGGGGATGGGGGCAGAAAGAGGAGATGAAAGAAGACAACAAAACATTGCTAGAGAACTGGAAAGGAGGTGAAAGGAGACAATTTTAGAGAAGAAAATTTTTCGATCGCTACCCGGATTCGAATCCGGACCTTTGCATGAGAGGCCAACACCTTAACCCCTAGGCCATGAGAGCCCCCACAATTATGCTGTTGACTTGACCCCTTTTTGCGTGCGTTGTCTTCTCATTTTAGTTAATTACGCTAGGTAGAAAAATCTCCCAGAAGTGGGCCTACCCTGTTGCTGAAAGAGAAGAAGATGAAAGTTATTCGCGCTGAGTGCTGGAGAAAGTATAGGAAAGATAATGAAGAGCCAAGATGCAAACAAATATATACACAATGCAATTACACACCATGACATTTTTACCCCAAACCACACCAGGATCGCCCCTTTAAACCCCAGAGGCTGTGATAAAGGCTACCACAGCTTTTTCACTTTCGTCTGACCGCGGTTAAAACAAGGTAAAATGCAATCTTTTTTGTTTGTTTTGGTAAGTGTTTTACGGCGCTCGCAACTGCATAAGGTCATATTATGAGCGCGCTGGACACATTGAACATTTTCAGTTGGTAGGAAGTATTTAGATTTTGACCCGGTGGCGACCGAAGCCAACTCTTAATCAATTTCAGACCACCAAGGGATCTTTAACGCACGCAACTTACACTCGGGCCTCCGAGTTTTTTCATCCTTGTCGGAGAAGGCTAGGTGTAGATCTTTCCTACCAGAAGATCAGGGGTGTGGCTGAAAGAAGACAGTAGGAAGAAGCCAAGGAATAGCAGTAGAAAGACTGCAGAAAGAGTCAGGAGCCCAGAGGAGCGGGCAAAGGAGGTGAGGGGTTGGGGCCGAAAGTGGAGACGACAGAACATTGCTTGAGAGCAGGAAATGGAGGTGAAAGGAGACAATGTTAGAGAAGAAATTTTTTTTCGTCGCTACCCGGATTCGAACCCGGGACTTTTCAATGAGGAGCAAACACTTTAACCTCTAGGCTACGAGAGCCCCCATCGTTCTGTTTAAATTTCTTCGATCTTTGTATTTGCATATAGGTCAAACAAAACCTAAAGCCCGTTCGTATAAAGTTCACTCCATAAGGCTTTCACACGTTTTCTTTGATCTTAGCCTAAAGCGAGTTAAAATAATTAGTGGATTTACAGCATGATGAAAAATTTACATATTTTCCAAAGGGGGCTCCCATGGCCTAAAGGTTGGGGTTTGCCTCTCATTCAATAGGTCACGGGTTCGAATCCGGATAGCGACGGAAAATGTTCTTCTTTGACATTTTCCCCTTTGACATCCTTTCTTGCTCTCTAATAATGTTCTGTCGTCTGCTTAGATTTAGTTTTAGTAAGGTTTTACGGCGCTCGCAGCAGCATAAGGTTATACGAGCGCCATGTCGTCTGCTTTCGTCTCTACTTTCTGCCCCCACCCCTTTACCTCCTTTGCTCCCTCTGGACTCCTGACTCTTTCTGTAGCCTTTCTACATGTACTGCTTCTCCATGGCTCCTTACTGCTGTCTTTCAGCCACACCCCAGATCTTATGGTAGGCAAGATCTACACTTAGCCTTCTTGGACACGGGCGAAAAATCTCAGAGGTCCCGTATGCAAGTTGCGCACGTTTAAGATCCCTTAGTGGTCCAAAATCGATAAGAATAGGTTTCAGCGGCCACCTGGGAAACATTTTTAAAAATTCCTTCCAACTGAAAATGCCTGGTGTATCCTGAGCACTCAAATGACCTTATGCAGTTGCGAGCACCGTAAAACACTTTAAAAAAATAATAATCCAAATTACCACACTTTAAACGTACGCCAAAGAAACCCAATTCAAGAGACGGGGCCAGTAATTTTCGAGACTCACGTGCAGATGTCTGGACAGTTGGGGGACGAAGCTACAACTTACAAGTAGCTCACACACTAAAATGTGGAGACAAGGTGGTATCGCTGTCTCAAAATTGGCAATTTGCAGGCTAGTTTATTGTTAGTCATTTTAGTGATCCTGTGTAGGCACTCCAAAGGCCCAAATAACAACTTTAAAAAACCCCCAACTGGATCAAGATTTTTAAAAAAAACCTGTTTCATTGTTGGTCTGTAAAAATGCCATGCAAAGTTTCATTGATATAGATAAATTAAATGCTAATTGTTTTAACGCTGACAGACGAAAGTGAATAAGCTATAAATATTATTGTTTGGTTCTTGGATAGAAAGGTCAGATTGCTGAAAAACTCAACCAAGTCAAAATAAATTTCAGATCAACGTGAGAAAGACAGCATCTTTCCGCATCTGAAAGCGCACCTTGTTGACCTAAAGCAAAGGACATACGCAAAAGCTTCTTCTTCACTAATATCACGGCAACAACATGCAACAAATCATAGGTCAGCTGAACATCGGTTTGCAAGTAATTAATTTACGTTTTGCTGTTGACATTGATGCTCTTGCAACGAAAGAAGAAGAGCTTATCAAGTTAGTCAACAACATCGTCAACATTTATGGCATGGAGATCAATGCAGAAAAGACCAAGCTGGTGACCAACTGCATCAAAGGAATCAGCTTAGACATTAGAATTGATTACCAAAAACTATAGACTGCTCAGAGCTTCAAATACATAGGTTCAGTGGTGGCGGATGAAGGATCAGATTTTAAAAATACTGTCCAGGATTGCTCAAACAAATGGTGCATTAATTGTTGAAGCCCTTCAGAGCTTCAAATACATAGGTTCAGTGGTGGCGGATGAAGGATCAGATTTTAAAAATACTGTCCAGGATTGCTCAAACAAATGGTGCATTAATTGTTGAAGCTCAAGACCATAATAATATTACGGAAAGACAAGAACAATGCACCCAGATTCAAAATCAAGCTGATGCATTCCTTGGTCATTTCAATCTTCCTGTAAGTTTGTGAGACATGGACCCTTACAGCAGAGCTAGAGAGAAAGATACAAGCTACAGAAATGAGATGCTTTCGAAGATTGTTGGGCATCTCCTACAGAGATCATGTTAAAAATGAGAAAGCGAGGGACAAAATCAGGCATGCCATTGGGCCCTATGAAGATCTTCTCACCGCTGTAAAGAGACGCAAATTGATGTAGTGTGAGCACATAACAAGATCAACAGGATTTGCTAAGATAATCTTATTGGGCACTGGACAAAGAATGAGAAGGAAAGGCAGATAGAAAAATAGATGGGAAAACAACATAAGGGAATGAACGGGTTTTCAGTTGGGTGAAGCCCTTGGAAAGGCTGATAATAGAGAAGGATGGAGAAAAGTGGTTACCCGATTATCCTTGTTGCCCCAACGGTCATCTTAGACTAAGGGATAACAAAAATATTTTTGTTTCTTTATGGCCAGAGGAAAAAGAATAATAATTATCCAAATCCTGGCTGGAGATGTCAGGATGAAGATAAAGGATTTTTTTCTGACTCCCTTGCAAATCCATCTTCAATTGGTTCGACTATCTATCTATCTATCTATCTATCTATCTATCTATCTATCTATCTATCTATCTATCTATCTATCTATCTATCTATCTATCTATCTATCTATCATGGAGGGAGGGAGAGACTAGAGAGAGATAGATAGATAGAGAGATAGAGATAGATAGATAGAGATAGATAGATAGAGAGAAAGAGAAAAAGGAGAGAAAAAGAAAGAGGGAGAGGGAGAGAGAGAGAGAGAGAGAGAGAGAGAGAGAGAGAGAGAGAGAGAGAGAGAGAGAGAGAGAGAGAGAGAAAGAGAGGGAGAGCAGGGGGGGAGTACATGTGTGTGTGTGTGTGTGTGTGTGTGTGTGTGTGTGTGTGTGTGTGTGTGTGTGTGTGTGACAGAGAGAGAGAGAGAGAGAGAGAGAGAGAGAGAGAGAGAGAGAGAGAGAGAGAGAGAGAGAGAGAGAGAGAGAGAGAGAGAGAGCAATCTCGTGCGTGCGACTGTTTATGTGCAAATACATGTGCATATACTTTGAATTATAATGCAAATGCGTAGTCATGAACCTCAGAAGTTTCCTATTGAGTGTGGCTTTCTGCGTCTCTGATGCAGCAGCTGTTCATCTTCTCACACTCACAACCGATCATAACAGACATAAAAAATTCTGGCCGCTCAGTTGGTCGTCTGCTATACCAATGTCCGGTAAACTCCACAGATAAGTGATAAGACGTCATCCCTTTGGGGTTCAAAGCAGCTGACCAGGACAAGATGACTGGAATTGACCCAATTCTTGAGCAGGATATGTTGCGAACTCAGTGGACTAGAGAATGACCCAAAATAGGAGATTGCTTTGATAAAGTGATAGTAAATAATACGTAAAGACAATAAAAACTGTCAGTCATTTCGGTTTTATGCTGATATGACAAATGCCGGATATTATTTTAAATCTACGCAGTTTAACAGTCAAATGGAGAGTATAAAATCAGGTTTTCAGAGGATCGAAGACACGTTACTCTGCTCACACACTTCAACAAAGACTTGGACATCACCAACGCTCCTACTTTTATTTTAACCACAGTGAACGCCATCCCAGTTTGTTGAGAAAGAGTTCCTTCCCCGAAGGCTCTTTATTGAAGGTAATGTGCATTGTTTAACGCTAGATCTAGATCTAATAACGTTTATGAGTAAGGTGAAACAACAGTAACATGAAGACGTTGGAAAGAGGGGGGGGGAGGGTGTGCTAATGAGCAGAAGTCAGAGTTTTTATTTTATTGAAGATCTACATTTAATAGTCTATCTTTATCTATATTGTTGACTTGTTCGATTTTGTTCCTCAATTTTATTTTCATGAAAAAGGGGCTATAATCACAGGTCAGACTTCAGAGACCTTTAAATTTAAAATAAAATAGACGTACTGGGAAATGACGACAGTTACAGTAGTTCATAAGACCTCGTGAAAAAAGACAGTTATCAACAACCATTCCCTTGTGACAACTGCCCTAACTTCTTGTTGTTGTTTCTTTCTTGTAGTCTCCAAGTTCTCAATTTTCTCCCACGTCCAGTAAACACTATCCCCTAGGCGTCCTTGCTCTTTAGCCATTCCAGACAACCACAGTACATGTGCATGATTGTCCTTTTGAAAAGGGTTTCTTCCTCTGAAGTTTTTATGAACAGATAATTTGGAGAAAAAAAAAATGCTATATGTGGTTTATACTTCGGTGAACTGTGACGTAACATGCCGAACACAAGACATAATCAATTACTAAAGTGTGGGTAAAAATTCGAGGCGCAACTAATTCAGTAATTGTCAAATCGCTACCACAGAATAACAACAAAGTTCTATCTGACATCTTCGGCAGTTTTGAGTTACTATAGACCATGAGGTCAGAAACCAAACGCTTTTCTATAAAATTTGCTTTCAAAATCGTAAGATATTTTTGAGCTGTCATCAAGATATTCAACAAAGAACTGCATTAGCAAAAGTTTGACATGTTGTGAAACTCAACGTTTTGTTCGTCAAATTTTTCAAAACTAGATATTGATCAGATAGAACTTTGTAATTCTAGTGTAGAGAAATGTCTCCTCAACTATCGAACATAAATTCTCCAACTTTTGCATACGGACTTGTATTGATTTGTCTTACCGGATCTACATCTACAAAACAAATTTAAAATAAAAATGGGTGGTTTCTACATATTTTAAAGAAAGGGTTATTCCCATGAGCTGGGCCAATATCACCTTTAAAAGCACGCCCGTCTGTTCAGACATTATGCTGATTGAACGCATGTTTTGAAAACTTTTCCTTTAGTGCCAAAGAAAAAATGTCTTCACCATAAATTAACTACATTTTTGTAAAAAGATAATTTTTAACATTAACCCTACCACGACATAGTATATTTTCATTTTTAAAATGATGGATAAAGATCCCGTGGCAGTTATAAAATCGAAAAGAACAGGCTCTCCGGACCGCCGCCAGGACAAAATTTAATACATGTACATGTATTAATTCCTACAAAAACTGAAACCATTCAAGTTTGTGTGTTTTAGTTCGAATTTTGCGACACTTACAATTACAACACAATTGGGTCAAATAAGTGCCGAAGATTAGGGATGTTACAGAAGAGCAGCAAACACTAAAAGGAGATAAGGACGATATATGTTTGATAGAAAAGAAGGAGAAAATTACACCAGAGTAGCTGCCAACCACCCACAACCAAGAACAAACTTCAAGAGTACCTTCAATAATGGCACGAGGCTCCCAGCCAGACAAAGGATGATGCTTTGTTTTATGTACATGTAGATAAAACAACAATGTACGTAAAGCAACTTCACTGTGAGATGGGAGATTTTGCAGTCAGTTACTCCCTAGCTCTCGCAGAGGTACGAACGAAAAGAAGAACGTAGGCTTACAATGAATAATGAATTACAAGAGTTATGAAATCGCTTCGCCATCTAATTTACATTATGTATTATGATCTTCCAGGTATTGCAGGTCTTATTGACGAACATGCTATTCGCGGCTACCCTCCTCCTTGTTCTTGGTGTCATGACGTCAGTCACCGAAGCTGCCCCTCAAACCAAGCGTTTTGGAGGAGGCGTCATCAAAGGATGTCCATGTCGAATGGTGAACGGTCGAATCGAATGTCCTTGTTCGGCTAAAAGGGATGTGGAAGATGTCAAAGAAGATGGAGAAGTGGATCTTGTTCGACGTTTCGGAGGTGGAGTTATTAAAGGATGTCCTTGCAGAATGGTGAACGGTCGAATCGAATGTCCTTGTTCAGCTAAAAGGGGTATGGGAGATGACAAAGAAGTGGAGGTTGTTCGACGTTTCGGAGGTGGAGTTATTAAAGGTTGTCCTTGCAGATTGGTTAACGGTCGGATCGAATGCCCCTGTAGTGCAAAAAGGGACGTGGATGAAGTAAAGGATGGAGAACAAGTAGACATTGCTAGACGTTTCGGAGGGGGTGTCATCAAAGGCTGTCCATGTCGAATGGTGAACGGTCGAATCGAATGCCCTTGTTCGGCTAAAAGGGATGTGGAAGAAGTCAAAGCCAAAGAACAAGTAGACGTTGTTCGACGTTTTGGGGGCGGAGTTATTAAAGGATGTCCTTGCAGAATTGTGAACGGTCGGATCGAATGCCCCTGTAGTGCAAAAAGGGATGTGGGTGAAGTAAAGGATGGAGAACAAGTAGACATTGCTAGACGTTTTGGAGGGGGTGTCATCAAAGGCTGTCCATGTCGAATGGTGAACGGTCGAATCGAATGCCCTTGTTCGGCTAAAAGGGATGTGGAAGATGTCAAAGAAGATGGAGAAGTGGGTCTTGTTCGACGTTTCGGGGGTGGAGTTATTAAAGGATGTCCTTGCAGAATGGTGAACGGTCGAATCGAATGTCCTTGTTCAGCTAAAAGGGGTATGGGAGATGACAAAGAAGTGGAGGTTGTTCGACGTTTCGGAGGTGGAGTTATTAAAGGTTGTCCTTGCAGATTGGTTAACGGTCGGATCGAATGCCCCTGTAGTGCAAAAATAAAAAGGGACGTGGATGAAGTAAAGGATGGAGAACAAGTAGACATTGCTAGACGTTTTGGAGGGGGTGTCATCAAAGGCTGTCCATGTTGAATGGTGAACGGTCGAATCGAATGCCCTTGTTCGGCTAAAAGGGATGTGGAAGAAGTCAAAGCCAAAGAACAAGTAGACGTTGTTCGACGTTTCGGGGGCGGAGTTATTAAAGGATGTCCTTGCAGAATTGTGAACGGTCGGATCGAATGCCCCTGTAGTGCAAAAAGGGATGTGGGTGAAGTAAAGGATGGAGAACAAGTAGACGTTGTTCGACGTTTCGGGGGCGGAGTTATTAAAGGATGTCCTTGCAGAATTGTGAATGGTCGAATCGAATGTCCTTGTTCAACTAAAAGAGCAGTGGCAGCTGTCAACGAAGAACAAGTGTATGTTTTTCGACGTTTTGGGGGTGGAGCTATTAAAGGCTGTCCTTGTCGAATGGTGAACGGTCGAATCGAATGTCCTTGCAGTGCAAAAAGAGACGTAGATGAAGTCAAGGACGGAGAGCAAGTAGGCATTTTCAGACGTTTTGGAGGGGGTGTCATCAAAGGCTGCCCATGTCGAATGGTGAATGGTAAAATCGAATGTCCTTGTTGGGCTTAACGCTCTGAAGAAAGTAACATGTTGGTAAAGCGTTTTGGCGGTGGGGATGTCCATCAAGGGGTGTCCAGGTCACCCGGTAATGACCAGATTGAGTGTTTTATGTTGGACTTAATGTCACAATTTAGTCAGGTTATATCAACAGGGTGTGCACATGACGGGACTTGTTAAAGTCTGGTTGTGGTAACAAAAAAAAGTGTATCACAGAATTAGTTTCATGTGAGCATGGGCACACCCCTTGTTTATTGAGCTCTCATATTATCATATCATGTATGTGTCTGTGTGTGCGTGAAGTTGTGTCTTCTTTAAGCCATAGCCAAACTATTATTACTATTAATCACATTGTCATCTCAAAGTGGAGCGAATCAAAGATGTATCATTTTATTGTCGTGTAGTGTAGGCCATATAAATGCAAATGTATTGTTACTTTCAACAATGCGGATAGTTAAATCAGTTTCGAAGTATCTTTTTATTTTATTTTTCTGCTTTGGTTTGAACATTTGGCCTTTAAAAAAAAATGATTTGACTTGTTTAAAAAATGTTTTAAAATAAAGTTCTTTTCTGAAATGTGAACCGAATCGTGTTTGATGTTTTTGAAGAAGGCTTAATTACTTGCTTGCTGATGCCTTATTTGCTGGTGATGATGGAAAATATTGTCCTCTTGTCAAATAGTCATAGCATCAGTCACTGACTTGTCAAATTGTGGAAAAAGTTGCTACAATAAGACACAATGAATAAACAGGGCTCATCTTTACTTGATTTCGTGGAGTATCACAAAAACAACTGCGTCATGACACAGTGGAATCAGGCGCTCGTCAGTTTTTTGGTCATGTAAAGTTATTGGTATCATCTTAAAGCTTGTTCATTTGCCTGCCTTTTGATGAAAAAAAGTATCCATCTATGTCGAATAGGAGTCGAAATATTTGCAATTGAAGGAGGTGGCTCACCTGGTTTCAGAGGTAAAATTACAGTAGAACATGGCTATAGCCAAAGATAGTACAAGACAAGATGGGCCACTCAGCCTAAAAAGTGTCCGCAGGAAGTATGCTCTTTGCTTCAGATGGCGCTGCAGTCTGTTTTGAAGCTCTCTTTCGTTTTTCCAGAAGAAGAATAGGAATAGCACCTCCTTGCTTGCGCAGATCGACTGCTGTTCATCAGCAGTTCGGGTACGTTCAGTGCGGAGTTTTAGTTTTTTATTTTATTTTAATGACCTCTCGCCCTTCATTCTAAAGTCAAATTAAACGAAGAAAACCATCTCCTTTTCCTCCGGAAGAGGTTTTTTGTCAGCGTAACCATTTTTAAAAAACGTTCTTCCGAAATTTATCCCAAAACTTGCTAGTTTCACTTTGATTTTTTAAAACTCAAGTAGGGTAACTCTGTTCGCAAAGAGTGCGCTTTTGTGAAGAGGGCGCCACCAAATTTTGAGGACACTTTTTTAATTGGCTCAAAGAGAGAAGTGGCCCATCTTGTCTTGTACTATCTTTGCTATAGCGGGACTTTCAGTTCCAGAAGAAAAATCACGCTGTAGGCAAGTTCCCGCTATAGGAATGCAAAGGGGAATTACTGAAAAATCAAGCACTGCGCACTCTCCTCTTCTTTTATCGTCTTTTTGGCCTAGCCTAAGCCTAAAGCTATGGCACATCACTTTTGGAGTGGCTCACGTAACGTGCCTCCCCACACCATTTCTCTCTGCCGCCTGCCCCACCTCACTCATCACTGGACTGGCCAATCACAATGCTGCACTGCTGACTGCCTGTTCTGTTTGGAGCCCACCTATAGCCCCTCCACCCGCCAGCTAGAGCTCGCTTGATCTCTCCCGCTGTATCCAAGTTTGGACCTTTCCTTGCCTCGTTAAACTCGAGCACAGTGGATTGAGTTAAGATAGACAAAAATAGGGGGATTTCGGTAAGGTCCAGCTGCATCAGATGCCGCTATAGTCAGAAAATGGCCGCCAAGAGTTAGTTATTTCTTTAGCTAGAGAGTCTGTGGAAACTGAAATTTTACTTTTTGGTCGCCTTTAATCCACATTTTTCAGTAAAATTCATACAGAAATGTGTTCTTTAACGGGTATGACAGGTGTTAATCCAAAAAACAAGAATTCGATAAAAATTCACAAACCTGCGAAAAAAAGCCAGTTTCTTCACTTTGATTATTTTGACGAGTGCCTGATTTCACCACGCTGCCTCACAATTGAGTAATTAAAAATCTGTCTTGTGGGACTCAGTCAAAGAAATAATAAAATCATCACCACCAAAGCTTTGCTGCCTTGCCCATGTCCCAAGGCTTTTAGTAGTCAACCGTCTTGATATTGTTATTTAATGTTGTCTCAGATCTTATACCAACATCTGTGGCGTAGCGGTTAAACGTTTTGCCGTTGCACGCAGGAGGCCATCTCAGACCCCAGTTCAATTTCTAAGTGGAGACAATATTACTCAAGTATCTTGGTTTTTCTGCTGGGATGTTATATCTCTCTCAGCCTGGTTTGGCCCAGCTAAATGATCTAAATAGTGTTGATGGGGGTGTTAAAACGTTTAAGCTACATTAAACAAAACAAAAAACACCTAAAAATGAAATGTAATAGATTTTAAAAAACCCCAAAAACAACTAAATCAAACATACCAGCCCCCCAAGAAAAAACAACAGAAACAAGAAAATTAGATACTATTGCTGACTCACTTCTTTCAGGAACAGTACCCTCGTGTTTCAAACATGCAGTTGTAACACCGCTACTGAGGTAGCAGTCATTATCCGCAGATGGGTTTAACACGGCATGAAAAAATGAAAAATAAATGTAAAGAACTCATCAGTCGTGAAATTGAAGAAAAACAACTGAATGAAAACAATGTGAAAAACCTGTTTGGCAGCATTCAAGTTTTTATTTTGTGGCAGTGTTACATGATATAAAAGAAAAAAAAAAGTGAAAAAAAAACCCAACCCCAAAAGAACCAGCATTACACATTAAACTTATTTGAGCAGATTGTGTGGCCATGTTCCTCGTATTCTTGTCGAGTGACGCACAAGGACGGGAAACTGGGGTCAGCGGCCAAGTCACAACCAGCCTGCCATGGGAAAGTGATGGGGCTGAGGACAAAACGGTGAAATACTACATAATGAGTTTCCATAAATAAAACAACTGAATTGAGCGAAAGGCAGTCAGACATAATAATAAACAGAAGAGAAAGACACATCAGTAAGGTGGCCGAATTGGTTATGGTGAGCCATTTGAGCCTAAAGAGAGAGACAATGACTTTTCAATTTATATACATATAAGTATAAACTTATTCTACTTGACACTAGCAGGTACCTTCTAAGGTGGAGCACTTGGCCCAGTGAAATAAGAAACAAAAAGGTGAAGGAAAGAAGGTAGAGATGATTCCCCCCCCCCCCCCCCCACCCCCCCAACCCGTAATACATGCAAAATCAATGCAGAGGCTGGCTGCTTTGGCCCTGCCTGATAGAGCCAAAATGGCCCGAGTGAATTTCAGCATCCTAGAAGAGAGGTTGAGATTCTTTATTTAAAAAAAGTTCCATACGTTGAAATCAAACTTGAGTTCTCTGCATGCAAGATGAAGAGTCTAATCATCTTCTCAAAGGATAGATAAGTTCAAATATATGAACTTTGACTGAGGCTGCTGATTATTGCAGTCTACATGACTGTCTACCAACCGGTTTCATAGACGGGCCAAAGTCCCAAAGCCAGATCACCCACCCAGATCCAGTTCAGCACACTTGTCTGGTTAAACGGTTTTACACCAACTATAAAATGGGTCACAACTGCAGTTCTCAACACTACTGGTTTAAGTAGTAGGATCTACTAGTATTGCCCTCTAACCACCCAAAGCATGATTTTTAGATTAAAACGAATGTGAGAGTGAAAATGTTGGCAAGGAGGAACACCAAACAGAAAAATTAAAGTCCCACATTACACATCTCAACTCATATATATATATATATATAAACAAACTTCACTTTTTTTTGTTAGACCTTCAACAATTAACTACACAAATTTGGACACAGTATCAGATTGATGAGAAAAACACCATGGAGGTTAACCAAAGACTTACTTTCCTGGCATGGACACGCTCACATCAAAATCGTCTGAGGCCATGCTACGGACATCAGATTGACTGGAGAGGATGTAATTGGGAGACAAGTCAAGGATAATAAAAACCAAGGTCAATTATAACAAAAACAATAACAAAAAGATTGGAACCGTATTAGCGCATATTTTTATAATCTATTGTAAAACTAGGTATGATGAACTGTACAATTTATTATCACCCTGACATTCTGAAACATTCTTTGTAATCTTAGTTTCCTTGGTAGAATCAGGGCAAGCTGCCATTTTAAAGGTTAACATTTTTTAACATGTATGACAAGATCTTTCTCTGTCTAAACACAACACCCATTCCCACCTGAGAGAAGAGGGGAAAAATTGGGTAAAGCCCCCATCCTAGGAAGGAGACAACAATGGGCCTGACCCTGGATTCGAAGCCAAAACTCAATGTAAATCTAGCAGCCTTACCACTAAGCTTTCAACACCATATATATAGAGGGGAAAATGTACATATAAATAGTTGCCAATGGTCATCTTGAGAATGCAAATGTTTGTGAGATATAAGGAAGAGGCAAAAAAGGAATTACTCACAGTCTGTCCTGGAAGCCTGGTAACAAGGCATTACCACCAGTGAGTACTGTGTTGTTCAGCAAATGAGGGCTCAACTCTGAGGGCCAAAACAAGAACAAATCAAGATTGCAAGCTTGTATTTCCATCTTCCTTCAGCGTTCTTTGAAGCACAGAACATAAACAAGCTCTCTCTATCTATCAAGATCCTTTGTTAGGCAATTCAACCGCCCCCATTGGGTCCATTCCTCTTTGTCTGTCCACCTCTAAATTGATCTGAATTGTGTTGATGGGAGTGTAAAATAATTACAGTCAATCTTTGTTCATGTACCAAGATCTTTGTGCCAGGTGTCCCTTGTACTTTTTTCTTCCTCATGGGTTTCAAGCAAAGACTTGCCATTTGGTACTGGATGTAAAAGCTTGATTAATTGTTTTAAATGCTGCTGTAATGCTGCAACCCTTTTGTGCTCCCATCAGAACTATTCAGCATACAGATAATTTAGACGGCAGGCTGCTTCAACCCTGCCTAGCATTCAAAGAAGTAAAGGAGCACACATCATCGAAGTGCCCGTCAACCACCACAATGAATAGTGGGGGAACAACTGTCATAAAAAGGTCAGGAGACGTCTATAGATTTCAGGACCCTCCCTCATCTTATGCACAGAGTGAACTGTTAAACAGAAACACAAGATCAGGAACCCTCCACAGTCCAAGCATTTCAGGAAAGCAGCACCTTAGGTCAGAGGTTCCTGAAGGAGAACTCTCCCTGTTGGAGAGAATGACGAATGCTATGCAAAAATTCAGACAAAACGCACATGGATGAGGTACAGAAATTTCAATAAAAAATCTGAAAATTATCCTCCTCCAAGTCAACTCTTCTAAATCCTATAAAAGTACTGAAAAGTATTTGTGAGCAGGGTCGAACAGAGCACAGGGAGCTTCATAGACAAATTACAAGTCTCTCCTCTTATTGAAATCATGAGTGACGAACTGGACCTCGGTCATTTTAGGAACTCTATCAATCAAATTTTTCAAAATTTTGAACATACCTAACACAGTTCCAAGAATGCTTGGGAGGCAGAAATTAATTATCAGAATCACTTCATCAGCTCTGAATAATATACATTAAAAGTTTGATTTGAGGTGTGTTGAGTACTATAACCAGTTGATTGGTTCAGACGAGGAAGAACGACAATGATTTTTCAGGTGAACAGAAGGAAAATATAACCCCTGATTTTTATTTCTTCTATTTGAAAATCCTCTCTTAATCGACAATGCTGCTAAATTGAAGAAAATACGGCGGTCCAACTGAATTCCGTTTAAGCGGACTCCATTGAATCTATTACATGTCTGTTACTGTCTATTACCTTCGTCCACAAGGCTGAGTGAGTGAATGATGCTCTCACTGATCCCCATCTCCGGAATGCCCACATCCGCCGGCTGAAACAGCAGCTCTGGAACGGCGAATCGCTCGTTGTTCATTCGAATCATCTAGCAATAAAAAAAATAATGGTTTTAACAATAATAACCTATTGCATTTCTACAGTACATATCCTTATTATAAAATAGGCTTCAGGCACTGTACAACCTATGATTATCCCAACAGACCCTTTCACATTGCCAAACATTTTTAACTTACCGGGACACAACAGTGAAAACTGTTATTTTACAGGCACTGAAACACATACTGGAAAGGTTTTTCAGTCTTAGCTGGGTACTCATTCCAGCCATGTCAAGACAGGAAAATTTAGGTAAGTGAAAGACACTACATTTAGCTCTAACTAGGATTTGACCTAACAACTATGTACACTGTGGGTCTAGAAGCCGTACAATATGGCTAGTGATACTACATCAGAAATTCAAAAAATGATATTTCCAGCTGTTGTACTCTGATGACCTGACATAAGTTCACAGTGAAAGTTTTACAACCCCATCAATACAATTTAGGTCATATAGTAAGGCAGGCTGCTTCAACCTTGCCTGTTGCCTGTCAGGACCAACCTAGACTGTGTGGCATACATCCCAGTAGAAAGACAGAGATATTTCACATTTTACCTACATAGGAATCAAACTTGTGTCTTCAGTCTGTAAGGCTGGTAGCTAGGTGTCCAAATAGAACATTACAGAAAACGATCCTGATGTAAGATAAAAACTAACACGCTTTTTGGATTTGGTAATTTGTGGATGTATAAGTGAAATGGTTAAATATATATTTAACTAAGACCCCCATTTTAAATCTTTAACTGAACATTCCTGAATCAACCACAGCTGATTTGAAGAGTTTTCATGGCCTTCCATCCGTCCAAGGAACAACTATATGGCGCTGATTCATCACTTAGCACAGATAAGCAATAAAGCTGAAGTAAATGCGCTCAACCCTGACTTGCAAGTATGTTTTTACAACCAATTTCCACTAAATAGATTTCGAACATGTGTCCAAACTATCTGAGAGGTGCAGTTTAGCATTTCAGGAGAAGCTATTTTCTTGTTATCGCTTATGTTGTTTTTTTTCTGTTTAGAGATATCTACTTCATCTGTATAAGGAAAAGAAAGGGAAAGAAAAGAGGACTAATAAATCAGGAAAGAGAACTCATCCGTCCTAATACAGTACATACCAAGGACTAGCCATCCTCATCCCCACCTTGTTTCTATTTACCAATTCTCATCTAACCTCAGACAAACCCAGAAATTACAATAGGTTTAACTGTCTTTTTTTTATATATACTCTTAACAAAGCTATTAATAGCATACTGTATTGAAAAACGACAGCCACTAGTTTTATTCTCATAACAGCCCCTTAAAAACCTTACAAACTGAAGTGACCCACAGGCTAAAAAAGTTGTACATCCTGGACTAAAAATATTAGTAGACATTACCTGTTCATCTCCTTTACTTTTCTTCGAGCTCTCCTCTTGCGTTCTGACGTAGCCACGCTTGATATGTGTATAGTCTGGGAGGATGTAGTCTCGGCTGATAGTATTTTCAGGATATTTTTTCCTAATACAGTGAAAAAGTTAGAACAAACATAACAAATTCAGATAGTTCAATCACAACATTTTTACAGTACAACCTGTATACATGTCAATGTATATATGGGTTGTGCATCTAAGGATACAATAAGCAGTAAAACAAAGCTTCAGCTGGTACTGATAATAACCACAATTTCATTTTACTGAAAAGTGAATGGCTCACTTCATTCTAAACCACTTTTTATTGTGAATTTTTTTTCAGGCAGACACTGAAGTTATTAATCGGAAACCTTTGAGTATTAAAACACATGCACACACAAAAAGAGACAGAGCGGGATGATTTATAATTACACTATACAATGAAAGGGAAAGTAGAGAAGATGAGCTTAAAATGGGCATCTATTTTTATAAAGACAACTACCAGAACTTGCCATTACTCAAGTATTTCGTTTGATGTGATGACATATTTCACGGGACACAAACATCGAAGGGTACCTAAGAAAATAACTTCAAAATTAACATCTTTAGTTAAAACACGCATTACTATTACAATTTGCAGATACAAAAGTGGAAAAAATTAATTAAAAAAAAATAAATAAAAGGTCCAAACTCCATAAAATTACAATATTTTGCAGTTTTCGGGTGGTATCATGCTAAAAGTACTGCATCTCTCACTTGATATTCTTAGACCACCACACACATAAACGTTTCTGTACCAAATACACTCTAGAGCAATCAAAATTTTCTTAGAGAGTTAGCACGAGAGCTCTCTTAATTTTCATGAGTCACAAGCCTTTTCAATGCTCTGTCGCAGCAAGTTAACTCTTTTTCTCCATGGGTGGTAAACTCACTTTGCTGGGCCCCCTTCTTTGGTACTAAACCTAAAAATTACAAATACGTCACTAAACGGGCATTTAAATCAAAACAAGTGAACCTATTTCGATAGTTCTTCATCTTATGAATGAACTCCCCATAAAAGAGGCCTGTTTTTGAAAATTGCCCAAAAATAATTAGATGTCTGAGTCGTTGTAAAGGAACGTTCGAGCCGCTGTCAGTGGCTAGCCGGAGATAAAGAGTTAAGTTAAAAATATATGTAAAAGTTAGAATTTTCAACATAAAAAGCTACATGCAATTGTTATACTCATCAAATTTCAAGCGGGAAAAAAAAATAAAAATTTATTATAAGGACACAAATTGCAGTACATACAAGCAAACAATTCTGATCAATGAGGGAAACAAGAAAAAAATAATGCAGTATCTAGTCTGTGGACATTTCGACTTTAAAAAATTAATATTAGATTAATTTTCACCTGGCAATTTCCATGTCCTTGTTGAACTGGGTAGAAACGTAACAGACGTCCTCTTTCATCTGATTGATCACATAGGTTTCATCCATTACCATAAGCTGCCTGAAAGAATTCAAAGCTTTATGAAAGAGTAGATGAGCACACTGTCCTGCAGACACTATAGTGTAATCTTAGTGTCTGCAACTGTACTGGGATCTATGCTTTGCTACGCCTAGAAAAATGAAAAGGCCCACTGCTCCCAGTTAAACTTTTCAAATCGTAGATGCTTTTTATGCCCCCATCAGCACTATTTTCAAAGCCAGCGCCGTCACAAAACATATCACATGCCTCCATGAGCTCATGTGTATGAGTACTGGTTTTACTGAGACAACAATTGTTTCACAATACACAGTGTATAGGCCTAATGATATACATACACAGGCCATGCCTCTCTCTGGCCTGCACTTGACACACAGAAGTACCAATGTCTCTTTTTTTCTGTTTCGCTATCTTCAAGTGTAAAAGACTTGATGATTTTCATTACTTGAGGGCTGTATTGCAAATTTAGAAGAGATAACCTTCTAAATTAGTTTTGTAATAGAAAAAGAAATATTTCTGCTTATCAACATTTGTCTTACAAAGAAATGTAACAAAAATTCTATTTTCTTTCCAATAACCACTGTTTCTGGATTAACTATTTTCCATTTAAGTGGATTCCAGTGAATATATATTTGGATAACCAGTAAATGACACTGACTGCCTACTGTGATAGATAATATGAATATTGAAAAAAACCAAAAACAAATAAATCTATTAATAAAAGATTTGCTATTTCCTGATAATCAGTAAACAGCTCTGCACACCAATTTATGGAAGAGTACAAATCATCGCCATCATTCATCATTGTCATATAAGTCAAAATACAAGGTTTTCAAGTGAATAACTGTTTAATTTCCAACAGGACATTATGTTAATACAGAGTGTTGATTTGACTAAATCTGATACTATTTTAGGAAGAAAAACGAGACAAGGACTAATCGATGTGCCTCATCAAACTCTTCAGCATATCTGAGTTTCATTTTTTCAAAGTTTTGACATACTTCAATGTTGAATGACAGCGAAAAAATATATTTATTAATTTTTGTTTTCATGGTTCCAAATCTCAAACAGTACAGTAAAACAATTCATCTCTTAAACTAAAATTGAAGCATTACCTGAGTTTCATATACGTGAGGCATCGTGGTGACGTCTGGCACATGTCAAAATAATAAAATAGAAGAAAACGCATTTTTCTGCAGGTTTGGCAATTCCTAACTGATTTTTCTTTTTGACTGATCACATTCACTGTCATTTAAAACACATTTCAGTGTGGACTTTCCTGGAAAACGTTGATTAAAGGCACACAAAATGTAAATTTTCAGTTTCCAAGGACTCTCAATCTATGGAAATCACAAAACTTTGACAGCCATTTTCTTGCCAATTTTACAGCTAGAACCACTTCCTTCAATCGCAAATACTTTTAATCTTATTTTAAAAAAGATGGCTATTTTTTTTTCATTGAAAGCAAGGCAAATGAACCAGCTTTAAGATGATACCAATAACTCCACAAGCCTAAAAATTGACGAGCGCCTCATTTCACTGTGTCATGACACATATACAGAATTAAATATATACCATGTTACTTATCAAAAGTCTATGTTTACCTGTATGAGATTACTTCCTTGAGGTGGTTTGTGAGCACCTTCCCTCCAACATTGACTCTGAAAAATGCAGTACAGTATTGAGAGTATACTCTGCTGTCATATCATTAACCCTATCCGTACGTCGTGTTTTACTATCGTATCCATACGACGTGCCACCCCTTTCCAAAGAGGAAATTTACTCTTTAATCCGATCCGTACACTTTGCATAGCAGTCTGTCAAAATGATTTTTTCAGAAATACTGAAAGTTTCAAAGAAATCTTCATACTAGAAGTACTTTAAAAGGTGAAGAATACAACCCCGGGGGTACAAAATGACCCCACGGCGTATGGAAAGGGTTAACATTAACAGCAATAAATCAAGACACAGATCACACAAAAAACAATTTTCTTGATTCAAAAGCCCTTAAAAGTTAAAAGACAAACCAGCAACAAAAAAACAAAACCAAATAAAAATCACAAAAAACGCTGCGGATGTACTACACTGTTAATGCAAAAACAGACACACAGTTTATGAAAAACTGAACATAAAATCACTTCATCTTTATTATGAAAAATGTTATCAAGATGATTTCGAAAATCAAATAATATACCTCAAGATAAAAGGGGTGTAAAAAAATTATTTTGATGAAAAGTAAGCATTAAAAAAGAAAGAGGGGTGAAAGGGAGATAAAATTTTAAAAAACAATAAAAAACAAAACAAAAACAAAAGCAAACTCACCTGACAATTGCTTCCTTGACGGGTTTGTTCTTGTAGAAAGGAACGATGTGAGAAAAGGAGTAACCAGAGTCAATGACGAGAGTGCCAAACATACTCCCACTTGTCTCTTTGTCTTTCTGGTGTTTGTAGCACGTCAGTGTGGGGGCTGCGACCGGACAAGAGAGCAGCCAAGTTGTTTTTAGTTTTAGTAAGTGTTTTATGGCACTTGCAACATAATAAGGTCATATAAGTGCTGAAGATTAGAGGTGTTACAAGAGAGTAACAAACATAAAAAAGGAGGAGGAGAAGAAATATTATAAGGACGATAGATGTTTGATAGAAAAGAGGAAGCAAACCACACCAGAGCACCCGCCAACCACCCATGCCAAGTTGTTTGTTTGAGAAGGACATTGACATAATGATGGTAATTTTGTGTTGCAAAAAAGTAAGACAAACAGACAGAAACAACAAAGGAAAAGGACAGAAGTAGAAGGGAGACTCAACCAACAGGTGCACAGTTATCCCCCTCCTAAAAGAACTTTCAACTTTGTAGGAAAATAAATCTGCCCCATGTCACAAAAATTATATTTGAATCAAAACGAACAAAACGAACAAGCAGGAATAGGTAAAAAAGTATTACAGTAAAAGAGACATGAACATGCTGAAAGGGCAAATCTAAGGAACCATGGTTCCAGCAAAGATGGGAACAGGTCCTAGGTGTACATTTACATACCTTGAGTTCGGTGAAGAGCATGAAATTGGAATTCTTCAAAGATTACTTCATTGATTGCCTCCCCTATTGAGGGAAAATTGAAGAATGGCTCTGTTAGAATAAGCCTGGTTTCATTGAAGTCCACCTGCAATATACACCCTGTGTCAGTAGGTACAACAGTAAGTGATGCCTTTTTTTCTAAATAAAAAAAAAAGAAAAGGGGGCAGTAAGGAACAGACTAAAAGGGGAGCAAACAGAATACTTTACTTTTATCCGCCGCTTATATCCTTTTGGGTGTCGCGGGAAGAAAGAGACGTCTCTCTGTCGCCAGCCGGAGAGCTTGGATCAGGGGGATGCCGTGGGTGGTTAATGTTTCCCTGACTCCATCTATCCAGGTCTTTCTCGGACACCCTCTAGCCTTGTAGCCATCGAATTTTATGTAGGCACGTTGGGCTGGATGGTGTGTTGGTAATTGTAGGAGATGTCCTAACCATTAGATTCTTTGGTGTTGGGTGTGATGCATGACAGCATTTGTGCCCACCATTTCTCGGATTACTGAGTTTCTAATTTTGTCTCGCCTGGTCTTGTTTACTGCTTTTTTAAGGCATCGCATTTCACATGTTGTAATTCTTTGCTCTAATGTCTTGTTCGCGGTCCATGTTTGGCATTGATAGGTGAGTGTTGGGATGAATATGGTGTTGATCATTTTGAGTTTTGTTGTCATGGGGACGTTAGGATGTTTCAGTAGAGGAGTAAGCTGGTAACTAACATTATTGGCCTTTTGTACTCGTGTTTCAATTTCTCTGTTCAGTCGCCCATCCTCTGTGTATATACTTCCAAGGTACTTAAATTCTTGGACCTGTCTGAGACTGTTGTTGTTGATGTGTATCCTGAGTGGTTCTGGCTTTCTGTTAACTTTCATTGTCTCTGTTTTCTTGATGTTGATCTTCATGTCGTAGTTGTTACATTCCGCAAAAAGAATGCAACTCTGATTCAAGATTTTTAAAAAAGTTTTTAAGTGAGCAAATAAAGCTAACCTTCAGAACCCTCTTAAAACAAAAACATTATTTCGCTTTTGGTGGGCATAATATATGATAAAAGAACAAATTTGCATTAAACAAAGCTTTAGACATAGGCCCATAGTGAGCAACAAGTGTACTTTGATCACTGAAATCTAGGCAATTTAATATCTTACACAGCCAAAGAAGATAATAATTTACCCCAAACTATAGTAAATATCTGAAACATGTAAGAGCAAAGGTGCTCCTACAAATATCTTTGGTTCATAGAATTTAAACTTCTACATCTCACATATGAAATTGCTTCAATTAATCATGGACAAGCACACAGGACAATTATCTTACCTGGAGAACGTCTTTGCTGAAAAGGCGATCCCAAACTTGTTTTTCTATTTCCCAATTGACCAAGAAACCCTGATGAAATACAATGTAGGAGCATATAAATTTTGACAAATTATTGGTTATTCTCAGACTGATATCAGAGAATCTGTGTAGTAAACGTAAAAGGGGAGTAGATATTGGATTCTCCTGATCAAAATTGCTGAATCTCAATGCAGCATTAAATTTTTGTCATTCCTGCTGATTTGCCCGAAACTCAAAAGCAAAAAGTATGTGAGTGGCAAAAATTGAATTACACAGGCAATTTGATTTACATTTCTCGGGCATTCCTTTGATCTATTTTAAAGCCCCAGCTCTTTTGCTTTGTATTCAATTGTGGTAATGAAAGTTTATCAAAGTTATGAGTCAAATCACCCTGCCAAAGCATAAATGAGGTCAATAAAAAGATCCACTGGCCGTGGGGACACATCAAAGAGAAAGGGCCAATTAAAACATTAAAAAAAAATCTTGGTATCCATTAATTCCGTAGTTTAGGCACTTTTTTCAATATCATCATCATCATCAACAATGTCTTTCACCCCTGGCAGGGTTTAGGAAACATACAAGCTCCTTCCATTTATCTCTGTCCTGGGCCATCCTTCCAAGCTTGTCCCAAGTGAGCTAATCTCTCTCATGTCCCTTTCCACACATTTCCTCCATGTTTCCCGTGGCCTACCCCTGCCTCGTGCTCCTTGTGGGTTCCACTGTAGTGACTGTCTTGTTATGTTTCCACTTTCTTAGTCCTATTTCTACTTCTCTACTCTATATATACATCCTTTTGTCCTGTCCTTTCCTTTGTCCAAAAATCTGTAGTTGACTTAAAAAATATATAGTACGCTATATTACCTCTTGTCGCATACTTAATTTGGGACCCTTATTAATATTTTATTTTGACCCACATCAAATATGCATGATTGTGTTTGCGACTTCAAACAAATGTAGAAAATGACAAAGAAAAAAAAATGGCAAACATGAAAACTACCAGAGGCATTTACCCTATTAGTAGTTGGTGCAGTTCCTGTCCTATTCATACCTGCACGAACACACACACAAATGAAACCAAAATAAAAAACCACAACCCCCCCCACCAAAAAAACAAACAAAAAAAACACCAAAAAAAAACTGAAGCAAAGAAGAAAAGATGGAGAAAAGGTGGGCCTTGGATGACTTAGGCCTATCCTTGGCCTTTTGTCTTTGCAGAGTTTACAAGGAAAGAGTATGACGGATCCCGAGTCCACACAAGGCCTGCACCAACACGCGTTTAAATGCCGTTTAAATGCCGTTTTGCAGAGTTTTCTAGATCTAGAGGTAATCAAAAATTTAGAATACTAAAATTTGCTTCCAAGTTCAGTTTTTGTCCCCTGGCCTGGTGTTGCCTTCAACCCCCCTCCCCCGAGTGTATCTTTAAAAAAAATAATCCTCCCCCCTATTCTGGAGTCCTATACTAAGCAGCGCTTAGACTTTGAATGAACTTTGGTGACCCCTACAAGTGCCGGTGCTCACAATGTGATGGAACGCGAAAGTTCATTGACCGGTCACAATGGCGAACCCGACAAGACGCTTGTATAACTATAACTTTCTTTTCTTTTCTTTTTTTTTTCCCACAAGTGACAGCACAGGACAAATATTGATTTATTTTCAAGGCGACACAGCGTTTGCCATGCACAGCCTGCATGTTGTTACAATTAATGTTGCGTTATCAAACTACTACCAGCAAATTTCTGGGTGGTAACGAAAGTGAAAGTATATCTTGATTATCCCGATCAAACGTCGGTATCACACCCGCTTGCCACCATAGCCGCCTGTCTGCATGAAGAAACATACTCTGGAGGGAGCCGAATGAATCACAATCGCGACTGGCAAAAATGAACTTTCGGACGTTATCGGATTTGGTTTTCAAATATTTGATAACTTTCTCAAATTCCCGGGGCCTGGCAGTCACCCTGCTGAATCCCGAAGTCGGTGGCTTCATCTCAAAATCGGTGGATCGGTAGTTTGACCCAAAAGTCGGTGATCTACCCATTTTTTCTGTAGGGTTGGCAGGTATGGAATAGGCTTGCTGAACCTACCAGAAAGAGTTTTTGTTGTCTGGTATACAATCCGCAAGTGTGAGTCTGTTGCTGCTTTCTCTGCCTTTTCGGCCAGGCCATTCAGGTAGGTATTCTTGTCCTTCTTGATGGAATTCTTTACCTCCCGGTTTACTTCGGTGTACTCTTGTTGAGCAACGAGTTTTCAGTTCGGGTACGACTATTGTTGTCTTGGGCCTTCAGCTCTCTTCTTCTTTTGACTTTGTCTAGAGAGTCCTGTGAAATCCATTAATTCCTGGTGTTGTCTTTGGGTCCTAGAATGTTCTGGCAAGTTGCGTTTACTGCCTCTTTTATTTTGTCCCAGTGTTCGTTTACTTTACATTTATCCAGATCTTGAAGGGCTTGAAATCTGTTCTTTAGGTCCAACTTGAAATCATTCTTCTTTATTGGGTCTTTCAGAAGGCTCACTTCATACTTTTGACGACTTCCAGTTGTGACTTGTGCATACCTTCTCAGTTTCAGTTTCATCTTTTCAAGGACCAAATGGTGGTCTGATGTTACGTAAGACTCGGACGTCCTCCAGTGAGTGTCTAAACTTTCGGGAGATGCAAAAATGGTCAATCTGGTTTTAAGTTGTTCCATCCGGGGAAACCCAAGTGGCCTTATGAACGCTTTTATGGGGGAAGATTGTCCAATAACCAAGTTGTTGAATGTACAGAAGTTTTGGAATCTTTCTCCATTGTCATTTGCCTCTCCTAGTCCATGTCTGCCCATGATTTCCTCACAGTGACTATTGTCCAAACTTACCTTTGCATTTAGGACTCCCAAGACATTGTTGATGTCCTTACCTGGAAGTTTGTCGATCACACTCTGCAGGCAGTTGTAGAAATCATTTTTATTCTCCTCTTCTGCATCATTGGTTGGGGCATACACTTGTATGATGTTCATGTTATGACCTTCTTCCTCCCATCTCTTTCCTTGAGTTCTTTCTTAGTTCCCAATAGGCCATGATGCTCCTTGGACCATGAGCTTCCCAGCCCTGAATGTCTTATGAGCTGTTTTGAATATGATCATCCTTACTCCTTCCCTGTGTGGTCCATCACTGTCATTTCCTGCCAGACTGGTTCAAGTGGGTCTCGCTGATTCCCAGTTTGTGTAGTTGGTATCGGTGCATCTCTTGAGGGACCTATGCAGTTTTTCCAGCCTCATAAAGGGTCCTAATGTTCCACTATCCAATTTGAAGAGACTTAGACTTGGATGATGGTGGAGGCATCTGCCCAACAGCTTTCTTTTGGCTTTCACTGCGTTGCATCATAAACTCTCCATTCGGAGAAGATCCATGATCCGCCAAGCAGAGATAATGGTTTTTGCTTGTATGTGTTTCTGTAACAGGTTCTTTTTACGAGCGAGGTTGTTAGCCTCGTGATTCAACCCCCGACCTGGAGGGAGGATAACTCTGTTTCGGGAGTCACTACCTGGTTTGCCATTTAGTCGCCTCGTACGACACGCTAGCACCACGTCAGTCCTACATGTCAGTCCTATTCTTCTCAATGCTGGGATTGCACGGCAGTGTTTCAATATGGCGGTAGGAAATGTTCAAAATTGGTGACTACCAAAAAAAATCAGTAGAAGTAGGCAGTCCAGGCCCAGGGTGGCCTTAATGGAAAAAAGTATAGCAATAATAACCAACTAATACATTTTAGGAAGTGTACTTACTCTCTGGAAAGGAAGAAGGTAGTACAAGCTTGACAAATCTTTGCACTCATCAATCTGATCTCCGATGAAAATGCGAGTGCGCACATTCTTTGCTTTAGTAACACAATTTGGAATGATTCTGAAAAAGAGATTTAAACTTTTAAACTAAATGTGAGGACAGAGGTTTTGTTACAAAAGGAGAGAGAATCGTGGAGAGTAATATAATGTCTAGATTTTCTATTTACCTTTTAATCTGCATAGAAATCAGCACTCTTTCAGTCTGGAACTATTTATTCATGTTTGCTGGATTCGAGTAATAAGGATTAACTCTTTCCAGATGTATTGCCAATATAGAGTTTCTTGGCCTTAACCTCAACCCTAACCATAACTAACGAAATCCAGCATAAAAAATCAAAACGTTCCAAACTGGATGATTGTCTAAATGTCTACTTTGGTCAGTGTAGGATTACAAAGACAGAGGCACACAAATTATAGATGCAAGTGCTCTTTATAGAGTGATGCATGATGAAACAAAGTCTCAGCGCATCAAAAATTTCATTTAATCGGTTACACTAAAAAAGTCTGAAGCATGTCCCTGTGCTTAATTAAAAGTAGGGGTGGGGGGGGAGAGAGAGAGAGAGAGAGAGAGAGAGAGAGAGAGAGAGAGAGAAAGAGAGGGGGGTGGGGGGGGGGAAGGAGGGGAGGGGTTCAGGTGACAGGGACACTATTCTTTCACAGTTAGAGAGCCCTCAACTATGTAGTCCCCTTTAGTGTGGTAAATTTTTACTTTTAGATCCGCATGCAGGTGCACTGTTTTGGGGGCTAAACTGTCGTGATTTTTGCCGCAGAACACACACATGACCACAAACCTCTCACAAATCAATTGTTTTCAAGAAAATATTAACCCTCGTCCTGCGGGGCCGAGTTTATGTCGCCCGATAAGCCTTTTTCAGCACCTTGCCTACATTCTGGTCCCGAGTCAGTCTAGCCCCTGGCTCAGCGCACGCACATCATCTTACGTGGGTGCGTCAGTCTGCTTGAGTTTGTGTGCGTTTGTGGCCTTCTTCAAGAACCACCTTCGTTGGTTTGTAATCGAGGCACACGTCTCATTCAAAACACGCCAAATTGGTAGCTCTAGATGTTCGTCCAATGAAATTATAGAAGAAATTGACCCACTTAGACATGAGGAGCTCGAAAGGATAGTCAGGAAACAAGACTTCCATTTTTCTATACAAAATCTTTCAAATGAGCTTGATTTTTTATAAAATGATACTACCTGATAAAAAATAAGCTTGTTTGATAGTTTTGAATACCATTGTGCAGGTACAAAGAACAATTTGAGTGCAAAACATTCGGAAATTGACCTATATTATCCCCTTTCGAACCTCAGATCATTCATAATAACAAGAGCGTCTAGAAAGGTTATTCAAAAGGGCGTAACAACTCATAACGTCTTATCAGCTTGTGAGAGGGGGTATGTGTTTGTAACACTCTATAAATAGAAAGCTATGGAAGATAGAGCATTATTTTCATCATCGATTAACACACTCAAACGGCATTCATTAGGCACTTGGATATTGGCCCGCGCGGCCCGAAATTTTCGTTCACCGGCGGCCGCCGCGTTTTGTGTGAGAAATCGGGCCCCGTGAGGGGGGTACCTATTTGTTTTGTTTCGTTTATGGTGTTCTTTTCAATTTATGGATTACTTCCGCCTATCAAATTTTAGACGAAAGAAAGGCGCGTATTATGGCGTTTTCCACTTTGGGATCGGTTGTGTGTGTTCGAAGTTACAAGGAGTTAAAAATAAGGTAAGTTCAGGCCTTTATATTTAAAGAGTATATCTTTTTTTTTTAGGTACTCCTCACAATCTTTTCTTCAACCTTTTTTTTATCTCTTTTATTTGTTAATTTCAATGTTGTACGTTGAGGCATAAGCGTGTGAGCCCTAATTTAAATAGGTCACTCTCCATGAATGGGCATGACCTATTATCGATCGCGCTGCTGAGCGTGAACCGGGAGGTCATGGCGGCCATTGCGGAAAGCGAACTTAACCCACGCTAACGTGTATTGTTGGCGTTTATTACCCCTTAAACGGCATTGAAGAATGTTTTATAGTAGAAGTTATGATTTATTTTAAATTTTGGAATATAATATGTTCACTGTTGTATAATTTTCATGAATTTGCACCATGTAACAATCAGTAAGGAGTCTTGGGTGGGGGGAGGGAAATGTAACAGCCTTGGCCTTGTTTTGTTTCTGTGTTACTGTTAGACCATCGATTTCATGCAAGTCTTTACTTCTTTTGTGTGCTTATATTGTCTTTAAATATTTTTTCTTCTTAATTTTTTTGTGTGTGTGCTTGTTATTTAAATATCTCTTTAAATTTTCACTTACTTTGTGCAGTTTGTTTTAAGATACATGTTTATTAGAAGATGTTTTTTCTCTTGTCTAGTCATCTACACCTTCCCTTTACTAGAGTTGTAGTGTGAAAATGTCAAATTTCCATCCACTGCTCACAAATGAATTTATTTACTTCATTGATGAATTCATTGCTTTGCTTTTTTTTTCTTTCCACAGCCCCTGATCACAACCTGACACTGTTCCATTGGATTTATTGACAGCTCACCAGAATAAATCCTGACTTTAATTAGACCTGCATGTGAGCCTCAACCAGATTGTCTGAAAATTTTGCGCAACCCCCCCCCCCCCCCCCCAAAAAGCCTCAGTGGGTGTCATAAGGAAGGACATCCGAGTAACGAGCGACCACCCCAACAAACACAATAAAGAAGAGACCTAACTCTAACCCTACCCCAAAAAGAACCTGCATCGGGCCTCATCTTAAAGGGATTCGCATGTAAAAAGGCCAAAACAAGTACTAAATGAAAAAAAAAATTAATTAAAAAACCACACTCCAAAACAAACAAGGAGCATATAGATTCTAGATCTAGATCTAGATCTAAATTTTATCTATATGGCTTACATCTACATTGCTATAGGGTTTGATACAATAACAGAAAACGAAAGTGCCGACGAAGCCGACGGGAGAAAAAGGGGTCGCTGGCAGTCGGCCAGGCCTCGCACTACGCACATTGACTGATACTAGGCGGGCCTAGCGATAGCATCGGCCGGTTCGCGGGTCGGGTCGCGATTGTCGGATTTCAGACGATTGTCGGCAAACATGCAGGTCTATTTAATTTAAAATCCAGAAATGCTTGCGGAGTTGGTCGAATTCAAAGAAAAACTTATTCGAACAAGTTGCAAAAAAATTGAGCGCTTAAGAAAGCATTTGTTGCAGACAAGAAAAAAAATTTGACATTAATTTAACAATATCAAGTTAGCAGACTGGGTGAACTGAACAACTGCCAGAAATAAAGAAAGAATAAATAAGTATCGTGACACAATTGCATGCTTAAAAAAACATGTCATATTTCACAACTAATTGTCTTTGGAAGAAGTTGAACATTTAAATAAACACAATAAAAATATAATGAAAAACTTGCTGAACAAACTGAAGTAATAAAATTAGAAGAGACTATTGTTTAACTTACAGGGCAATCTCAAGAGTTAAATATGTAAAAGAGAAATCAAAGATAAAGACAGAGTAATTTATCATTTACATGACAAATTAAAACATGAAAGAAACATTCTAACAATAACATATGCAAAATGAATTAAAAAAACAGTGTTATCATGAATTAAGGTAGACTACAAACACTAGTTTGCAGCAGCTGTAGACACAAATGTTAACTTTAAAAACTTTTATGCTCATCTTATTTTAGGCGACCAGCTGTTTTGTTAATATATATTTTATTTTTTAATCAGTCTTTTGTAAATTCTACTGATATTTGATATGTAGATATTCCAAAAGAAAGGCCTTAAAAAGACCTCCAAAATGATACCTCAATTATTGTTGTAGCTTAATTTATAAGAAAGTTATAGCAAAATATATTGACCGCAGGACGGTGCGGTCTCGTTACACAACACAGTGTTGAATAATATTACCCAATATTACCCACCACGATATATTTTAAACGACTGGCAGTCTAGCCGTACTTAGATCTAGGTTTGGCCCAATCGACTCAAGCCTGTTAAGTACACAGGTCCCATTAGACCTAGATCTAGTAATTATTCAGGTTCAAATACATGCAAGTCAGTAAGGCACCTTTTGGTTTTGTCTGAAATACAAATACTTTTGGCATTGCAAACTAAAAATTTCATTTACAATACAGCCATCAATATTAAGTACAGCTAGCCTGACAGTCTAGCCGTCCTTAAGTACGGCTAGCCTGGCTGTCTACCTGTACTTAAGTACGGCTAGACTGCCAGTCTAGCCGTACTTATCTTAGGCCCTATTAACATTAGAAAACAGGAGGTTTTAAAATACATACACTGTCATTAAGGCACCTGGTTTCGTCTCAAATACAAATGCTTTAGGTACTGCACACTAAAAATGTATATTTACAATTCAGTAGGCCTATTTTTTGTAAATGGTCAGTCTAGCCATCATATTAAGAATAAGTACGGCTAGACTGCCAGTCTAGCCGTCATTAAGTACGGCTAGCCTCTTCCTATTTTAAAAATCTCGTCTGACTGTTATTTTGTCCTCAACATCACAAGGTTTCAGAAAATGTTTGGTTTTTGCATGTACGCAGCAGCATATTGAAGCAGCAAACATTTCCCTTATTGTTCTTGCTGTTTCGATCACAAAAATTGCCTTTTTTTTCTATATAGATGTTATCCCCTCGAAAATATCTTTAAAATGCCATATCTCAAAAACGGTTCAACATAGAGCAATAACTAAGGTAGCGTTGGAATCGTGTTACTGAGCTCTTTGCATTGGTATTGCTTTTAAAGCAATTTGAAAGCATTGAAATTTTTATCCAAGTGCCTAATAGTATTCATGGCGAAAACACACGTTTCCCGGCGTGCCCTGTACACCAACAGTACACACTGAGTGACCCCGGTGGCCTGCCCGGAACGTCCGACGTAATTGGTTGCTGATAAGATTCGCATCTCAGGACAGACGCAGGACAAGAGTTATAACTAACTAGACTAGAGTCTAGATCTAGATCTCTAGATCTAAATCTAGAATTCTATATATCTAATTGCAAAACATCAAATTCAAATTATGGCATGGATTAGAATCTAGTGGTACATCTCAAATCTAGTCTTTGTCTTTATTAACTAGTCTATCTAGATCAAGAT